ATATAATAAATTAAATACAATGAATATAACAATAATAATAATAATATATAATATTATATAATAAATATTGTTGAATTGCATAGCTACAAATATTATATAATTAAGATAACATATTTGTAATAGACAAAACATGGGTGAAAATGTACAGTGTGCAAAAAAATTTATATGTATCCGTAAAAATGCACTAAACACAAAGAGGTGACATAAGTTCTTTAGTAATTCTGATCCTGATTCTTCCGACTTTGCGACGATGCATGCGGTCAGCGCAATATCCAGTCGTCGTCGTAGATTTACGAGCGCAAACATTTGGGAGCGAGAGCGTTGTACAATATCACGCGTCATAATCGATATACCCGAATATACCTCGAATTTTATTCTCACCGATCGTAACATGATCGGTGATAAATTCATATTTCCGATCGGCCGCGTCACCGTCGCGGCGGCCAACAAATCGTAAAGCAAAAGGCGGTCCTATTCGGGTCGGGCGCGTGTGCCAAACGCGGGACAATGTCTGCCAATTATCGGACGATTGTCGCCGCCAACTGTCCGTGATGCTGGTCAAGTTGCCGGTTGATCGGGGGAGTGAGTGACCACTGCTTTGGTCGATACATCATTAACTTTTGTCGTTGAGAAAACCGGTCCGTCCGGCATGCCACATTTTCGCGAGTCGCAAGTTGCTACGTAGAAAGACTCACAAATTTCAGAATTAATATCATGCAATTAGCAAAATATGTGGACGGGTAATAAAGATATTTATAACATTGCTAAACAGCGCTATAAAAATGATTTATATAAATATTTTTTTCAATATTCAGTTTATTAAATATTTTCTTAAGTAAAACAAATATTGTGGAATAAATCTCTTCATTTTATTTGTTTGTCTCTGTACGTTGAAGAAAATATTCAAAAAAATTTGATTAAAAATAAGATTATTTAAAAAATAAATAATCCTTGTAAAAATTAATCAAGTAAAATAGAGCGTATTTCGTGATTTTCCTCCATCATTCCACCTTAATAAATAATCGCAAAGAAAATGGGGAAAGAGAACTTTAGGCGATATTGCGGAAGCCTCGGTATTGTTGCAATTGCTATCGACCATGGTCAGACGATACTATATCGCAACTGTCCACCCCCTATCAATCGTGTTTCGTGTTTTTCTAAGAATACATTCGTTGGCCGACTGGAGCGGGCCACGAATACGTAATTTTATGCGTGTTTGCTTTACGCATGGGGATATGCTCGTGTGTGCCTATATGACGTCGGAACGGAGGTGTCCTTATCCATCCCGCTCGCGTTGTTTGTCCAGAAGATGGACTGACCAGCGGCTAAATCCACTCGACATCAACGCGTATATACGCATGATTGAAACGAAATTATGAATAAATATTTGCCGATAGAAAGTACCGGGCTTGCCGCGCTGGAAACGCCAGACGTCGGGTGATTTCGTCGGAAATGCAAAATGCAAAAATTAATTATCCGCGGTGTATTTTTTAATTTATTCAATTATTTAAATTTGGAATTTCTCAATCTGTTTATTGAAATGAAATATGTCTGATTTATTTCACTTTGATTAAGAAAATTGTTGCACAATGCAAATTGTACAATTAAAACAAGGCTACAAATATCGAAGAAACACATCGATGATACACTGTGTCGCTTATGTTCCTCGAAATAACACAGATATGCACTTCTTGTATGTATGCAAACACCTCGATTTGCGCCACGTGTCTTCACGTGCAGAAGTCGCGTGCGGACCGGAAGCAGGAGCCGGATACTTTGGCCCTACTCACGGCTCGTAACACGGAACGATGTAAGTCAGCGATATCGTAACCTGCACAATGCTTAATGGCCTGATGACTCAGACGGCGTCGTCTCTCTTTTTTCAAATCAGACTTTTTTCAATACGGACAAACGTACTCGATGCATCGATTGACTGCATTTGATTGGATGCAACTAGTTTATCCGTAATGCAGAAAAAATACAAGTAAATACTGCTTACAGATAAAAGATTAAGTTCGCATTTGTGCGGAAACAAAAATTTCGTGCAAATATCATTCGTTCAATCATCTAAATAAAAGTAACAAAATTCAAAAAATATGAATTATAAGTGGACATAAATGACATTGAAATATGAAAAGATGAAATGAAGAAAAAGAAAAAGGAGAAGAAAAAAGAAAGAAAAAGAGTAATGAAGAAATGTATTGCAGTTTTATGAGGTATTTCAATTTATAAAAAATAATTTGAAAAAGAAGAAGATTGAAGATGTCTTTCTCCTCTTTCTCCTCTTTCTCCTCTTAGAATCGACAATGTTTGGAATTATATGATGGCCAAGCGGGGAGCACACGATACCTATGGGAACCAAGCACCCTCCCGTGCCTCTATCCAGGAGACATCAAAAGGCCACGAAGGTCCGCGGGAAGATATTACATAATGCGGAATAGAAGGACTATCCGTGGGGTGGGCTCTCGTGAACTCGGAGTGACGAAGAATGGTCGATCGCGAGGTGCAAAAAAATACGGGCACGCGATCCACTTTATGTTGCTCCCTTTCTCTCTCTCTCTTTCTCTCTCTCCCCTCTCGCGCCCTTGATCGCGTGATGACGTGTGCTGGACGTGTGTACACGCGACGCGACGCGATACAACATCCCGTGATACGCGCGCGTCGGCACCCGCTGCGATCGTCTCGTGCCGTTTCATCGCCCGTCGCGCATGCAATCGCTTCTGAATACGTCAGAAAAGTAAGGCAATCTCTTCATCGTGCTTCTTACAAGACGTGCTTTTCGCGCGGTGTTAATCTACATCAAGTTCTATTTATAGTGCTTCATTTTTTAAGAGACCAAGTTGTACACGTAATCTCGAAATCAATTTGCAAAAATTTTGGAAATTTTTCGATATTTATTTATTATAACATCATAAAATATGCTACGAAAATAAGAATGCTGCATTCATTTAGCATTCTTCGTTGTGTTTACATTGTTCTTACGACGAAATTTTATGTGTTTCTGTGAGATTAAAAAAATATATTTTCAATAAATAAATTTTACTTCTATTTTACAAAGATCATAGATTTTTTACAACATTGCGTCACGAAGTTTATACAAATTTTCTCATACTAACTTTTCAATTTACTTTTCGTAGTTCGACGCCGCGTAATCGCGCTCGGTCGATCGCCACTGAAAAGTTAACGATACGATTAGTCAGCTCCGTTCCCAGGCGCCGATAATCATGCGAGCGCGTGCCGCGTACGATTCCTGTGTGAACTTTATCGCGATCGCACCCCCTCTCCTGTGAATGTCCCTTCGGGTTGCCCTTCCGACACGCGTGAACGTCTCCGCGATGTACGCTCGAGCGTGCGAATTTGGGAGGGGGTAGCTCCCGCGAGGGTGGCACTAGAGTGATTTTATGGTGGCGCGCGAGAGATTAAGGGGGAGCATCCGGTTGATTGTCTTACCGAGTCTTTCAACTTTTTCACTCGTTCTCGAATGAAATGCCTTCTTTCTTATTTGCGAAAGTACTGTAAAACTTGACAATGATAAAATATCTTGACGCGGATATAGAAGTGTACATTGATTGATCTTCGAGAGGATTTGTATTACACTATACACTTTATTGCAATATAAATTATACTAAACTCAATTTGATAAAGTTGCATTAATGGAAACAAACATATAGCAGCTGAAATATTGCATCGCGTATTTTTCAGAAAAACACAACACAATAATTATACTATTGAATAACAAGAAAAACGATAAAATCAGAAAGTGACGAGAGTTCACACGAGATCGGGAAAGGGCAGTTTCCGGCTTCTTTCTCCTCGCACATCCGCTCGGTCGAGCGACGAGAAGATCGCTTCCTCCTCGGTCTCCTTGACCGAGTGCAGCGCAGGATTCGGCTGACAGTCGCACAATCAAGGGTCTACACTCGCACGCACGTACGCACGCACGCTCGCACACGAGTCGCCGCGAACGTTCCCACGAAAATCGCCCCTCCCGATTTTTGCTTCTCCCCTTCGGCGGCAACCCTCTCGCTCGCTCTCGTATTCTGCATCCAGGGTGCTTTTCACCTCGACTTGGCACAGAGGGTCCCCTCCGGTGCCCCACTCTCCATCCCGAGGGCGCACACCTCCGATCATCCCCCCACCAGATTCATGGATACACCACGCGGTCGTGTGTCGTCCCTGCGTCCTCCCGCACACGACATACGTCGGCCGCCACGCGACCGGTGCACACGCACATCCTGCAGCAGCAGCAGCAGCAGCAGCGGCAGCAGCAGCAGGAGCAACGGCGGCAATAGCAACAGCCGAGAGTGCGTCCAGTCGCGCGCGAGACTTCTTCTTCCACGAGCAGGCACGCGACCGCGAACGACGTCGCGGGTAGCCGCCGGCACGTGGACTCCGATAAACTCCCGCCGCCGTCGCGAAACAAGTGCCAGGACTGATTGCTCCTTTCGCGATTTGGAATCGTTTTCTCGCGTAGCTGTGACTTTCGTCGAGATTTTTGTTACAACTTCGATACAGATACATCGATGGAAATTATACGACTTTTAACTTGTGAAGAAATTATCTCTTAAATTCGGCGACATTACTGTCAACTCTCTTCGAAATCGAGATTTCAGTTGTGCGAGTTTTGCAAGAAGTCATCGATGTGAAGATTACGCAGTTTTTAATCCATAAAGTATGTTCAGCAACAAGACTGTCGATCTATTTTAGAGTTTTGCGTGTCAAATATAATCACTTGGTAGAAGCTAGAGTGATTTTTAATTAATGGAAAACTTGTGCTCTGATTAATTTTGTGGATTTATTTACTTACAATTGCAGTTATTGGATAGTTATTAAGTTTGTTGTGATGAAAATTCTACCGAAGAAATAATTAAGGAAAAGCTACTTTTTTCCGGAAAAAAGCAAACGAAAAAACGCATCACACCCATCTAATGACAGCGGTATCGTTCAAGAGTTCCCGTTGCTCGTATCACTCAATTGCGGCTTCCGTCTTCACCAGTCAATAGTCGACCGTCGCTTATCGCACGCCGTTAACGATCGTTCTCCACGTCACCGCAATGCGGCTGCAATGACATCTCGCATCGTTATGGGATCGATGTTACGCATTAGCCGGTAGCACGAACCAGCGATCAACTTGGACGTCCCTGCGATTCTCGGCAACAGCCACGCTACGTCAGATCGATTCTACCGTCCCCCCGAGACCGGCGCAACATGTGGCGAGTGGTGGTCGCACGTTCCGACGACAACAGCACTTTGCTGTCTTCTGAGATCACTTCCGGCGCGGTCGCACCCGGTCACCTGTCGACCCTGTCGGCGCCGCCTTCGGGTCATCATTGGGGTTATCCGCCGCCACCGCATCATCCGCCGTATCAGCCACCACCACCGCCGCCGCAGCATCCGGACATGCGTCATCACCATCACGATATGCGTCCACCTGTATCGCACGAGCTGCGACACGCCGCCGGCGACCTTAGAGGCCCGGATTTACGACATCCGGAGATGCAACGGCATCAGGAACTGTCCAGGCACGATATCGCCAGGCATCAGGATGTGCGGCACCAGGACATGCCGGTTATGAGGTCGGACATGCCGGAGATGCGGTCGAGTCACGAGTTCTTGGAACTGAAAATTGAGACGGAGTTGGGTAGCCAGGATAACGCTCAGCAGCAGCAGCAGCAGCAGCAGCAGCAGCAGCAGCAACAGCAGTCGCAGCAACAGACGCAACAGCAATCGCAGCAGAATCAGGGACACCAGCAGAGGAACCTGAAGAGAACTATGAGCGACTCCGACTGCGACGACGTGTTCTCAGAGGAGAGCGGCAAGGAACCGTACGTATTACATTCATATCTTATTCTTTCATACTCATGTTTTCTTGTGAAAAAATATCTCATAGTTTTGTACCAAAATTAGAACAATTTAATTCTTTTCATATATAATTCGCGAAAGTTTGAATTCCTTTTTTAGAAAGCTATTTTTGATCTGTCTAGTTATCTTATGGCATAATTAATCTTATTAAAAAATCCGATTCAAAGCGGAACGTATACAGTAGAATTTTCTTCGGCTGAAACGATTGTTCTTTAAAGCGATTTCTTCGAAACAACGCGCGACATATGTCTCTTTGTTTCGCGATAGAGTCGCAATTAAAACGGCATTGTTTCAACTCGGCCGAAATTAATGAGCGTGTTGTTGCGCGCTCTGCAACGCGAATTAATAATATTTAATTAAAACAGTTCTCTCCCGCTCCTTGTTAAAAACAACCCCCGTAAAATTTCGAACAAAGAAATTGCAAAGTGTCTTAACCGCGCGCTCGAACAATATGCGTTTTAATCCTTCCTTCGAAATTGCAGATGCAACTCGCCCGGAGGAGATTCCTGCCAGCACGCGTCGCGAAAACGCAGGAGGGGGATGATCGAGAAAAAGCGTCGCGACAGGATTAACGCATCTCTCGGTGAGTTGAGGAGGCTGGTTCCGGCAGCCGCGAGGGACCCTCACAGCGGAAAGCTGGAGAAGGCGGAGATCCTGCAGCTCACGGTCGAGCATCTGCGCACACTCCGTAATAAGGGTGAGTTCCATGCACCTTTGTCAACCCTTTATCCGAATTATTTTTTTAAATTGTGTTATAAACGCTGCATTCAAATCTATGCGTCTAATGATTTCTTATCAAATATTACTTTCTCAGCGCAAGAGTAATATTTTCCAAAAATTTTTTTAATTTAACGAACTTTAGTCACAAAAAACTAGTTTTAGTTAATTTATTTACTTGATAATCGTAACGATTGTTCGATAACTTTTCGCGTATATTGATTTACACGCAAGATCGGAAGTTGCGTAACGAAAGTGCAGATCGAAAGATGTAACGGTGTCGAGTAATAAGATCTCCAAATCCGGAAGAAACGCCTTTACCCGTTGAAGGAGCAACGGATCTCGAAGATGATCCTCCGACATCAATAAGACACCCTTTTTTTCGCTCGAGATTTCTCAGGCCAGGCATTAATAATTTCTCTTAACGTGTAGCCCCAATTCTCGTACCAATTTGATTCGTACGCCGTTATTACGTATTCTGTTAGGCGCTATCGGCCTTTTCTTTCCTACCGGAAGACACCTGTTGGGCGAGCAGCGTTAACTGTAACTGTGTAACCGAATGCCCATCTGTCGTCTCTGCGTTTCCTTATTAAGTAGATTTTTGAGAGCGATTATTAACTTGGTATAAATTATCTCTGAGATAAGTGTAATAATATCTGCAATGTGCGGACGTCTTTTTCTTTTTTTTTTTTTATCTTACATATTAACATTATTCTATAACTTCAATATCTCTACAAATTGTATATACTTGTCATAAACAGTTATTTTTATTGTAAAAATAATACAGAAGATCAATTAATTTGCAAATTAATTAAATTAAAGTTCTCGGCAAAAATTTTACAAACAATTAACGTAATAAAAATTTTTGATTAATTATATTAATTTAATATTAAATTTAATATAATATCGATTATCGTTTCTTAATTGCACCAATGCTTTTCTCTCATTTTCCATTGTACGATCGCTTCGCGATAAATATATCCGAGAGAGAGAGAGAGAGAGAGAGAGAGAGAGAGAGAGAGAGAGAGAGAGAGAGAGAGAGAGAGAGAGAAAGAGAGAGAGAGAGACGTTGTGGAAAATCGCAGGACGAGATGGCATATGGTTTCTCGGGCAGGCCGCCGAGGAGCCCGACTATAAACGGGATCCGCGGAGCAGGTGCTGGACCGGGCGCGGAGAAATCCTGTGGGAAGCACAGGAAGTCAACGACTCTCTGGAAGTGGTGTTCCCACGATTGGTGGCGGCGGGCCCGGGGGTGAGGTGTCCCGCGCGGCACCCCTCGCGAGGGAGGCGCTCGTCGGATCGGCCTGGGGCAGATGTCGAACCCTGTGGGAAACTAGCTAGCTACGCATAAGTGTGCACAGACACGCACGCACCACCACCACACCGCTCGATGATTGTGTGTATGCGGCCTCCTTATTTGTAAATGCGTGCTCGCCACGAGGGACCCCCGAAAGCGAGCGATATTAAATTTAATATCGCCAAATAAAACGCGAGCGGCATTTGGACACCGGCGAGAGATAATCTCTCCCATGTTTACTCTGAAACGCGTGAAAAAAAACTCGTCTTTTGCTCGTGCTTTGATAACGACAGCTCCGTCGTGTTCGTGACTTAGTTACAGACTAATATGTTGTGTCAATATTTTATTAATAAATCCAGCAATATGAAAAGCAAAAAAGAATTTTTAAAATGTTGAGAATCCAACATTTTTAATATTTTATTTAGTTCTCGAATGTGTAGTAGACATTGGATACGCTTCGTTTGTATAGACATTTGGACAGTTTCGAGGTCTTGATCATTAACTTATCGAGACTTTAACAATGATCGATCGCGCGTGATATGGCAGCAGTACTGTGTCTTTCTCGCGAGTGATGTTTGCATAGGGTGGTCTGAGAACTTGCATAATAACGTGGGACACTCCACTCGTTCACGTATATCCCGTGTATGCGAGGCCCGGCTGGCCTATGGGGGTCTAAACGGTTCCCACGCTACCTGTCCCATTCCACGTGTACACAATAAGCCGCCTGCTACTACTAAAGCCAAGGCGCCCATCTCGCCTCGGTGCACGTACGCCGGCATTGTTGCACCGCGAAAACCAAAAGTGCACAAAGGATCTTCGCCTTGCAGATGCACTTCCACGTTGTCAATCTGCGAATCGCTCGGAGAGATTCGGGAAAGTCTTGGGAAAAACGCGATATCATCTTCCGACACCTGCTCGCTTTCCGAATGCGATACTTTTAGCGAAAAATAATTTTTCCGAAATATTTTATACCAAAATTGCATCTCAAATGGATAAAATATATTTATTTGTTATATTTTTCAATTAGATTTATATTCTAATTATAGAATAATATTAAATAATGTAGAATTTCTTCCCTTATGTATAAAATTACGGAATTCTAAATATTATTGTGAAAATATTATTGCGCTTTCTTATCGTTATGCTTCTGAATTATTAAGCCAAAGTTTCCAAGATAACATTGAAGCCAAATCTTTAATTTAATTTCTAGTTAAGTTAACTTTTATTTCGATCAAAGTTTCTTCCGCGTAATAGTCATCAAGACTATTTCACATTTCAGAACTTTATTTACAAATCAATTTCTACGTGGGAAAACTTTCTTTACCTACTTATCAAACTTTTCTATATTGGAGTCAGTCTATAAATTTATCTGTGTAATGCACAGATATAATTATTACAATTAATTTCTGACATAAGAAGAAAAATCATTGCCAGTAAAATGGCGACAAAATACTTGATTAATTTTGTAAGTCATTACCTGTATATAATGTATCTTTTATTTAGAAAAATAGACTCTGTTTTCTCCGTGTTTAAAAAATGTGAGCTTAAGAACTGCATCTTTGTGTGTCTACGTCTTTCATCTTTTTGTGGCTTTATCTTGTTATTTAATATCGCCATTATAATTACACGAATTAATCTAGCATATGTTGTAATCGAAATCATCATAATAAAAATCTAAATAACAATTGCAGGACCGGAGGGCTACGACAGTACGAAACTAGCCATGGATTATCACGCGGTAGGGTGGGGCGAATGCGCCGCCGAGGTGGGTCGCTACCTGGTGACCATGGAAGGCCTGGACGAGAGGGATCCTCTTCGGCTGCGCCTGCTGTCGCATTTGCAGAGCTTCCATCGCGAACATCCGCCGTCCGCCGTACTACCTTCGGCAGTACCTTCAGCACCCACGACGTTGACATCTACTTCCACTGCCAGCAGCTACGAGCCGCCGCCATCAAGCACAGTCTCCGCCGGAATGCCGCCTGGTGCGGGATCCATGCCACCGCTTCTGGGCGGCGGTACTCTCGGTTGGAGCCAATATCCTGGTCAGTATCCCCAGCAGCAGCACGGAAAACCTTATCGACCTTGGGGTGCGGAATTGGCGTACTGACCTTAAACTCTCGCACAATTCATCACGATTGTATGCCGTGGAGCAGACATCAGATTTTAACGCGCAATTTTAGGATTTTTTTCCTTGTGTAAAATATATAGAGAGTACTATAGTCGAATTTTATCCATCATACAATATTTCAATCTTCTGCAAATATTCTTATTTCTCGCGCGCGGAAGAAGAAAAATAGATGTTGTACGTCACATTCTTTTGCCAATCGAATTAGCGATTTGTTCGTGAATTATAATTGCAGCAATCGCGAATATTTGCACCGCACGTTGTGCGGTTATTTTTCCTTTTCACCGATTTGTTAACAATAATGTAATGATTCACAAAATATTTGGATAATTTTAGTGAGATATTTAATACAAACGCGATTTATAAAAAGAATGAAACGCGAGCGACAAATTTCGCTACTTTGTGTACATACAATATATATTTTTTACCATATTCTAACACCTTAAACACATCTCAGGAATGTTCAACAACCAAAACTATATATTGTTATATTTTCAATGAGTGAGATAATGATAGTCATGCAAGTATCTAGAACATATTTATTAACGCGAAAAATTGTATATATCTGTACATATTCCTGTATATAAATAACAAAACTGTATTTGTAATTTTATCGGATATCTCGTAATCCACTACCGGTTTGTACATCGCAAAGTTGATCTTTTTCACGCCGCCGAACGATAAACGATTGCGCGAGCGTGTAAAGTCCAGCGCGAGTGAAAATAAGGAAGAAAAATAGAGAGGAAAAAGGTCGTGTTGTACGTATTCAGTGCCATTACGCATTTCAGTGTACACATGTGAGAGAGGTCCAAGTATTTTTGCAATACGATTTTGTAATAAAGCGATAACACGAAGATGCAAATAAAATCTTTGTTGCACGTAATTCCCCCTCTTGCACTTTTCTCCAATGAAGCCTAATCAATATTTCAGAGAATTACGACGCTAATCGCTAATCGCTAATTCACGCGACTTTTAATCACGCGGAACTGAAGCGTCGTTTCCGATAAGAGTGTCCTATATTCTCTTGCCGGATGACCGACATTGATAATCGACATAGTTTCCTCGAAACGCAATAAATCGGAACCCTCACATACATCCTGATCGATCATTCGCAAATATCGATACTTGACACATCCAAACATTCACGATGTTTGCACGATTCTGTAGGGCAACAACGGTGAACAAACCACGTCTGACGTTTGTCGTACTACGCATCGCACGCATAAACGAGCGGGCTTTTGTGCGTTTCACGCATCCGTACCTCGCGCAAAAACCGACACGAATTTGCGGGCGAGAGAGCGCACGTGAATTTACACATTCGAGGAAGAGAAAGAGGAGGAGAAGGAGGAGGAGGAGGAGGAGGAGGAGGAGGAGGAGGAGGGAGGGAGGAAGACGAAAA